CCTGCTCATGTAGCCCATCTCGTCCATGCGCGCGTTCTTGACGCCCACCGGGTCCAGCACCGCACCGCTGATCCCGTCGTAGAAGGTCGCCATCTCCTCCTCGGTCGCCTGGTCCAGAATCTCTGGCTCGTCCGCGGTCTGACCAACTTCGAACGCATGGATCCCTCTACCGATCTTCAGCTCGTTCCTGATGCCCTTCAGGATTGCCTTCACCAGCCCCAAGGGGTACCTCTCGGCCGCCTTCGCCCTCCTCTCCAGGAGGTGCGCATGCTCGTGAGAGCCGTCGCACACGATCCCCACCTGCTTCGCCACCTCGCGGCTGTTCGTCATCCAGCCCGTCGGCTTCGCCACGAGGCCCTCCGAGCCGTCTGGCCAATACGACCTGGCTCCGAACACGCACTGGCTGCCCTTGACCACCATGGCGCCGGGCAGCTCCCTGATGCTCTTGATGCACTCCTCCTTCCAGCTCGACGCCGTCCAAGGCCTCGAATGCTGGTAGGCCGCCAGCTCCATGCAGAAGCCCAGGAAGACCTTGCACTCCGCGAGCAGCCTCTGGAACATAACTTCATCACGCTTGCCGCTCGCCTTCAGCAACTCCATCAGCTGCGAGAACGGGGTGCATACAGGAGACATGACGAGGAAGGCAGGGTCTCCCTCCTCGATCTCCGCTCTCGCTCGCTTCCTCTGCTTCTCGAGCCGGAAGTCCCAGCCCGTCCTGAGGTCCATCGCAACTCCTGGCTTCAGGTTGAACTTTGGAGCTCCCTTGGCGAACTCCCCTGGGTTGAACACTTCCTGCAAGTCCAAGCTGTCGAGGCCGAGCTGCTCCAGCAACGCGCCGATTTCTGCCTCGTCGCCCATGGCCGTGTCCGCCGCCGCCGGAGCACTTCCCGACGCAGTCCCCGATGAGCTTGGCGCCCCTGGTTCACCGACTGGTCCTCGATCACCGACTCGTCCTCGCTTGGCTCCAGGTTCTTCGTCTTCACCTCTCTCAGGTCGCTCTCCAGCTACTCGCCGCAAGTGCGCCTCTGCCAGCCGAACTCCACCGCCGAACGTCTGGTCGTCCTCCATCGCTTTCTCGATCCTCGCTCGGCATTCCTCGCTGGGCAAGATCGCGCGCTGGTTGTCCCGAGCTGCCGCGCGGCCTCTGCAACCTGGAGTGTAGCCGCAGCGCCGCAGCTCCACGCCCTTCCTGATGTAGACCCTCCTCGGAGCAGGAGGACCCGCAGGTCCTGGAACAGGGGGCAGGTCCACGTCCGGCACCACCTGGTCCGCCACCACCTTCGCCATGGCAGGTGGTACTTCGAGTCCTTCACCTTCTTGACCAGGAACTGGTCGCCACGGCGCGCCCTGCAGCTCTGAGAAAAGAGCCTTGTCGCTCCTCGCTGTCAGCGGCATCCTCTTGACGCTCCTGGCTCTCATCACGCCCTTCGGCGTCGCCACGTACACCTCGTCGCCGTCGTCGCGGATCCCGTGCAAGACGCCCTCCAGCCACCTGTCCACCAGCCTCGACTCCCTCTTGCCGACTGGCAGGTAGAACACCTTCTCGCCGAACTCCGGGAGCGCCCTCTTGCAAGCGCGCCCCATCCTCAACTCGTACGGCGCGCGCCCGTCCGAGCCCACCTGACCTCGATTGTGGACTGCTGCGCCGTGCCTCACCATCCACGGCAGGCACGGATGCTTCGGGCCGATCGTAACTCCGTGCATCTCCTCCACCGCGCGCTTGAGGGTCCTCGTCAGGACCTTCATATCCTTGACAGCTCCTTCAGCTAGGCCGTTCGACTGCGACTCTCCAACCGCCGAGGTCTCCAGCAAGCACTCCACGCCGTGGTCCTTCTTGAGCCTCTTGATGGCCTCGTCCCTCAGCGCGATGATGCTCGGCTCGCTATCGCACCTGAAGACCACCTTCTTGTAGCCGCCGTTGACCGCGAACTTCACCAGCATGTCGGCGCTGCGCGCGCGCGCCGCCCCCTTGCAGGTCAACACCTCCGCGCCCGTGTACCTGTGCAGCGAGTCCGTCACGAACAGGATCGGAGCCGCGTCCTCGCCGCTGCCGAGGTAGCCGCAGTCGAACGCCACGACTGGTATCGCATCCTCCGTGTGGCTCCTTGTCACATGAGGTTCAGCTCGCCCGCGTCCTGCAACGCAGCGCCTGCGCCAGGCTCGATACGGCGTGTGCGACACTTCATGGTCCTCTCGCTCCTGCTGGGTCGGCTCATGCGGTCTCCGCGCCGCTCTCACTGCCGGCCGCTCCCGAGCAACCGCCGGGGCAGGTGGTGGAGGCACCGCTTGTGGTTGAACAGGTTCTTGGACTGGTTCTGCTGCTGCCGGCGCCGCTGCCTGACCCGATCCAGCTCCCTCGCCTGCGTCGTCACTCCCCATCATGCGGATATCCTTCTGCTTCTTGCCGTTCGCGCCGGGCTTGGACCAGGCCTCCGCGCGGCCGATCACGTCCTTCGCCTTGCCGTATGGCATCAGCTCCAGCTCCATCTCGTGCACGTCGTTGCGCCGCTGGAGCGGTGTAATCACTCCTGTCGTCTTGTTCTGCGCGTAGCTGCCGCCGGCGTCGAAGACGACCCGATGGCCAGCGACCATCTCCGAGACCGAGGCGAGTGCCTTGCTGACCTTCGCGACCCTAGCCTTGATGCCTCTCACTTGCGCCGAGCCGTCCGAGTTGCGCACCGACCCGACGAGCTCCTTCGTGCCCTCATCGGCCACCCAGCCGCCGTTCGCGGTCCTGCAGCCTTCACCCTTCGCACTCATGTCATTCTCGTACGTCGGGTAGTCCGGCGCCAGCTCAGATGGCACGACCGTCGTAGCTGCACACGAATCGATACCGAGCACCATCTTGCGGGTTGCTCTCGCCGTGTCTGCACCGAGCCTGCTCAGCTCGTGCACCAGCTTGTCGTCCACCAGGCCGCCCTCGATCAGCAGGTCGAAGGCCTTCTGCGCCACGTCCTTCTCGTCTATCATGAACGGCGCGAGCCACAACCCGCGCAGAGCCTTCTCGGGTTCCGGCTCCATCATGTGTAGGTTGTTCTTCTTCTTCTTCGGGCAGTCCTTGGTCATGTGCCCGTACTCCTGGCAGTTGAAGCACTTCGGCCCCTTGCCAGTCTTGCCGTCCTTTGCCTTTCCGCTCTTCGAGGAACTCTTCGATTTGGAGTCGCCCCTCGACTTGCCCTTGCTGTCTGACTTGCCCTTGCCTGCACCAGGTCCGCCCTTGCGGTGCCAGCAGTTCCTCTCGTCGTGGCCCTTGCCGGTGCAAATCCTGCAGCGCCCCTTGCCACCTTGGTTGTTGAACGCCGAAAGGTCCATCGGGGCCACTCCGTTCTGCGCCGCCGCCGCTGCGGCTTGAGCTCGTCGAACATTCAGGATCTCCACTCTGAACTTGGGCCACGCCTTGAGCCTCTCCGCATTCATGATCATGTGCTGCCTCAGCGGAGACTCGGGCAAGTGCCTCAGCACGATGCCGATCTTGATTGCGTCCGAGAGTGTCTCCTCCGACGCCGACTCGTACAGACTGATCTCCCTCTCGAAGGCTTCCAGGCGTATCATCATCTCACCGCTGAAGTCCCAGGCCAGCAGCAGCATCATCAGCTGCCCTGCGTATCTGCTCGCCGCCTGGGGTTCAAATCGAAGGTGTAGTTGCCGCCATGCTTCGAACCCCTCGAGCTTGCCCGCGTTCAGCACGACATCGAGCGCCTGCTCCTGCACGTCTGGATGAGCCAGTACCCCAACGTTCTTGACAGCTGCACGTCACCGGGCTCGAGGTTCGCCGCCAGCACTGGCTCTGTCTCCCGCTTCGCTCTGGCCATCGCCGCCGCCATGTTCGGGTTCGTCGCGCCCGCAAACGCCTCGAACACCACTGACCAGTCTCGCCACGGCGGCTTGGCCCCGTCGAACATCTCGGGCTTGCCTATCATCTTCATCTCCGCGGCCATCCTCTCGGGCCCAGGGTCTGGCGCGTGCGCCGCCGCCGCCGCCGCGGCCGCACCCTGCTGCCCAGCCGCCTGCTGCGCCTGCTGCGCAGCCGCCTGCGCCGCTCTACTCGCGGCGTCTGCATCCGCCCGTGCCTGTCGTAGCTCTCCTTGTACTTGCTCGAGTGCCTGACGAAGCGCCTGGACGTCCTGGACCGTCACTGCCATCCTGACCTTGTCTCTTGATCACGCACAGAAGCTGTCCGAGGTGAGCCCAGCAGCGCCTCTTGAAGGCCAGTCTAACAAGCCGCGCTGCCAGCGAGACCCACGTCAGAATCGGGCCCCTCTCGTGCAGCACCTCGAACTGATTCACCTCCTCGTCCTGAAACTCGAGGCTGGTTGCCTCCAGCGCCCGCGCCCGCGCCTGGGCGCCCTCCGCGGGCCTGGCCCGCTGCGGCGCAATCGCAGGCTGCCGCTCGCGGCGCTGGGGGCGCATCCGCTCACGCTACCATGGATGATTATTCTCTCCAAAGCGCTCGAGCCAAAACGGTATCGACCCGTTCCAACATGTCTCTCGGGAGGCTGCAAATCTAGCCAATATCAGCCAGCCGAGACAATGTGGATGCTGCTCAAGGATTGAAGCCGACAGCTCGTAGCAACCCAAGGGGCATCAGATGCGGTCCTGCGGGCGCGCGGCCGCCATGGCGGCGGAAGGCCAGAAAAGGCCATGGAGAGCGTGCGGTCCTCATCCTTCAGAAGGTCGGATCGGTTCTCTCAGTGGCTCGGGCCACCTGGGGGAGGAGGAGGAGGAGTAGGAGGAGGAGGAGAAGGAGGAAGAGGAGGAGGAGGAGGAGGAGGAGGAAGAGGAAGAAAAGGATAATGAGAAGGAGGAGGACGACGAGCAGGAGGAGAAGGAGGAGGACGAGGAGGAGCAGGAGGAGGACGAGGGTCGGATATCTGAGCCTCCTCCCCGTATGCCTCGCCGGAAGCCAGCGATGCTCAGCCCTCGAGGCGGCGCCGCGGGCACGGTCCCTCGTCGACGTCGTTCGTCGTTCGTCGTTCGTCGTCGTCGTCGTCGCGGCTGACCTCCGCCTCCCTGCGGGCCCTCTTCACCTGCGTCCTGCGCCCCGCGGCGCCGCCGCCGGCCGCGGAGGCGGCGCGGCCGGCGGGCCGAGCGCCGCGGCCGCCGCGCGGGGCGCTGCCTGCCTGCGGGCGCTTCGAGGTCGGCACGAGCTCCGCCGCTCCAGGCCGGGCCCACCGTGGGGCCCACCCTGGGTCCCAGGGTCGGTGCATGTCCTCCTCCTCCTCCTCCTCCTCCTCCTCCTCCTCCTCCTCCTCCCCTCATTCTTAGGGAAGCTGCTGCGTCACAGGGACCCGTAGCGTCAGTCCTCCTCTTCTTCCTCCTCCTCCTCCTCCTCCTCCACTTCCTTATCCTGTTCCTTCGCTTCTTCCTCCTCCTCCTCCTCCTCCTCCTCCCACTTCCTTATCCTGTTCCTTCGCTTCTTCCTCCTCCTCCTCCTCCTCATCTCCCTCTTTCTCCTCCTCCTCCTCATCCTCTTCCTCCTGTTCCTCTTCCTCTTCCTCATCCTCCTCGTCCTCCTCTTTCTCATCATTTTCTTCCTCCTTCTCTCCCTCCCCCTCTTCCTCCTCATATTATTCCACCTCTTCTTCTTCCTCCTCTTCCACTTTCTCCTCCTCCTCTTCCTCCTCTTCCTCCTCCTCCTCCTCCTCTTCCTCCTCCTCCTCCTCTCTCTCTCTCGGCCCTGGGGCCCATGGTCGGTGTATGTCCCTTCCTTTTTCGACGTTGCCCATACGAGAGCATCGTGGCTGCTGCGCCCTTGCAGTGCCTAGACATAAGGATTCCGACTTAGCGAAGCATTCCGACTTAGCGAAGCGCGAATACATAACCAACATGAGTGGGAAAATAGTAAGTGCCCTGAAGGCGAAGAGTAATTAATAATGCGCAAGAGGAGCCGAACCGTGACCATATACGTAACATACTGGGAGGAACGTCGTGCAGGATGAGACGACATGCATGCGCAATACAACTAAATGCTCGGTACAGCATCTGAGCGAATGAGCAATAGTTGAGCAGGCGACTGGCACATGGAAATGGCGAAAGTGTTTCAAAAGACGTCCACCCTCCCATATACCTGTGACCCCCAACCATCCTTTATACTCAGTAGCTGGCCTATAGCGGTGAAAAGAATGAAGAAAAAGAGCAGGCGACTGACGCAGTGTATTCCTGCGTCTCCTCCTCCTCCTCCTCCTCCTCCTCCTCCTCCTCCCCCTCCTGTTTCTCCTCCTGTCTCTCTCTCTCTCTCTCTGTGTCGGCCTTGGTGCCGTGCAGACGCGGCCATCCCCTTATCCTCCCCCTCTCCCTCCCCCTCCCCCTCCTCCTCCTCCTCCTCCTGATCCTCCTCTTCCCCCCCTTCCCCTTCTCCCCCTCATCTTCCACTTCCTCCTCCTTCTCCTCCTCCTCCTCCTTCTCATCTCTTCCTCTCTCGGCGATGGTGTGTACCGACGCGGCGCTCCCCTTTTCCTCCCCCTGTCCCTCTCCCTCTTCCTCCTCCTCCTCCTTTTCCTCCTCCTCCATTCGTTTTCCTTTATGAATAGCTCCTGCCTGTCGCACCCCGGGGGCAATGGGAAGGGCGGGCTGGGCGTTTCGCCTGAGACTCCCGCACAAGGTATGATCCTGAAGTTTCACGTCTGGAACAACTTCGCTGTTGGAAGACGGGTTGCTTCCCGAATGTGGTTTGTCCCTTAGCGCCGCGTAGTTCCGTCTTGAGAACTGTCAGCGCTTCACGTTTTGAGGGCGGGCCGCTTTCATCATGTGGCTCTCGCCTTTGCCGCGCGCGTATCCGTTTTTTATGTTAGCCAGCGCGGGCCCAAAGAAGTCGGTGCTTGCAGTCCATGTTATGCAATCTACGTGTTGCAATGTATGCGATACGAGTGCAACATATACTGTGCAATCAATGCGGTGCAATGTATGTGGTGCAATTGACTACCCTGCACCGCGACTGACCACCTCCACTGCTCGCGCAAACATCCCACCCACCCGCCCGCAACTTGGTCGCAAGACTTCTTAAGACAAGACCGTGACGGTAGGTACCACATGGCAGTTGGCCACGACACCGACGCCGACGACGACAGCGACAACGGCGACGACGGCGCCGCCGACACCGACTACGATGACACCGCCGACGTCGACGTCGACGAAGACGACGACGACGCCGACGCCGACGCCGACGACGACGAAGACGACGACGACGTCGCCAACGAAGACGACGGCGATGGAGGAGGGAAGACGGCGACGACGCGAACGACGAAGAAGGAGGAAGGACGGCGACGCCGACGACGACAACGACGAGGGAGGAGGGAAGACGACGACGACGACGAAGACGACGACGACGAAATAGGAGGGACGACGACGAGACGCCGACGACGGACGACGACGACGACGAGGGAGGAGGATAACGACGAGGGAGGAGTGAAGACGACGACGACGACGACGACGACGACGGCGACGAAAATAGGAGGGACCACGACGAAACGCCGACGAAGACGACGAGGGAGGAAAGACGACCACGGCGACAACGACGACGGAAGCGACGACGACGCCAGGACGACGACGACGACGACGACGACGAGGAAAGACAGAAGACGACGACGGCGACGGCGACGACGACGGCGAGGGAACAGGGAGGACGACGACGACGACGCAAGAGCGCGCGCGCACGCTTTTGTTGAAAATCCGTGTTGCGAAACTTTGTGTTTTTGTATGGCTTTCGGAGACACGACTTTGAAATCCTTCCGAAACCGATGGGTTTTGAAGGTTTTCGGCATGCGCGCGCGACGACGCGCGCGTCTGCACTTCGTGTCGTTTTTAGCAAAGGATTCTCGCGACGGCACACGCGCAAGGGCGTTCGACAGATTTCGACATGCGCACGCGACGCCCGTTTAATAGCATTTTGTGGAAATCTTGAAAAACCCTTGGTTTTCTTAAGATTTCGCAAGAGCTCGCGCGGAAGCTTTTAAGCAAACCAATGTTGCGAAACCTGTGTTTTTGTATGTTTCTTGGAAACTCGATCCGGCACCGAAGGTTTTTGAAGGATTTCGGCATGCGCGCGCGACGACGCGCGCGTGTGCACTTCGTCCCGTTTTTTGCAAGGGATACGTGAAAAAGTGTTATGTTAGAACAAACTATGTCACCGCATAGTGTTTTTTCAATAAAAAAAGGACCCTCAGGGGGGGGATACCGGCCCCCCGGGGATAGTGCAAATTCATATTTAGAATGGACATGTGGTCATAATCATATGTGAGTTACATACCCGAAAAGGGGAGTGATAACGCTGGGGGGGGGGTAGATCCTATTCTGTTTTTTTTTTTTAGAAAAGGAAAATTAATCTCTGTCCGCAATGAGTTGTCCACTCCACTGCTCGCGCAAACATCCCACCCAACCCACCCGGAACTTGGTTTGCAAACCTCACGCGGCGGCGACTGCGATGAGTGCTTGGCGCTGGCTGGTGCATCTCTGCGGCCGCGCCAGTCCGCGCATGCGCGCGCGCAGCGGCCAGGTAGCTTGGCGCGACCGACGAGGTCGCGGTGGTGCTGACCGCTCGGCGCATCCCAGCGGGCAGTTAAGTGCGAGTCGGCGGCTTGGGCGGGCACGGTATCATGGCAGCGTCGACACTTGTAGACACGATGACGATGATAGTGCCGATGTTGGAAAGAGCGTGTTCTTCCGCTGCTGGCGGAAAACCAAAGGGGTCACTACCGGTTCGAACCCCTCCCCCCCCCTCCGGAAAACAGGGGGAGGTCACTACCGGTTCGAAGTTCGACCCCCCCCCCCAGTCCATCATGAAAAGGGGGGGGGTCACTACCGGTTCGAACCCCCCCCCCTCTCGAAAACCGGGGGGGGTCACTACCAGTTCGAACCCCCCCCCCTCGAAAACCGGGGGGGGGGGCGGACAGTGGTGGGGACGGTGGTGGTGGGGACAGTGGTGAGGGGACAGCGGGACAGTGGTGGGGACAGCGGGACAGTGGTGGGGACGGTAGTGGTGGGGACAGTGGTGAGGACAATAATGGGAACAGTGGGGACAGTGGGACAGTGGTGGCGACGGTGGTGGTGGGGACGGTGGTGTGGGGACAGTGGGGATGTGGTGGAAACCATGGGACAGTGGATGGTACAGTGGTGGTGGGGACAGTGGTGGAGGCGGTGGCGAGGACGGCGGTGGGACAATTCGACAGAGGTGCAGTGGGGACAGTGGTGGGGACAGTGGGGACAGTGGTGGGAACAGTGGGACAGCTCAGTGGGACAGCGGAGGAGTCAGTGGGACAGTGGGGACAGTGAGGACAGTGGAGATAGTCGGGCAATGGTTGGGGCCGTGGAGAAAGCGGGGAGAGTGGAACCGTGGTGGGAACAGTGGTGGGGACAGCGGGGACAGTGCGACAGTGGTGGGGGCACTGGTGGGGACAGTAGCGATGGTGGTGGAACCAGTGGGGACAGTGGTGGTGAGGACAGTGGTGCTGGGAACAACAGTGGGGATGTGGCGCGGACGGTGGTAGGGACCGGGAGCGTTTGCTGGCGGCGAGGGGGGGGGTGGGGAGGGGTTCGAACCGGTAGTGACCCCCCTCCGGTTTTCGAGGGGGGGGGGTCGAACCGGTAGTGACCCCCCGGTTTTCGAGGGGGAGGGGGGGGGGAGGAAGGGTTAGGGGGGGGGGGTTTGCCCGGGTGAGGGGAGGGGGGGGATGGGGGGGGGTCCAGCAGGGGGGGGGGATTTTGGGAGGGGGGGGGGAACCCCGGGCTCTGGAGGAAGAGGGGGGAAATTTTCCATAGTAAAGCGGCGGTGGATCACGCTCTCTCCTATGTTGCTGACGATAGACGCGATGGTGATGATAACGGCGATGACGGCGCCGATGCCGATCACGCCAGCGACGATGATGGCGTCTTCGCGTCGGTGATGAAGGTTTTGGAAGGAATTCGACATGCGCGCGCTGCAGACGCGCGAGAGTTGTTCGCATGGTATTATCTGAAACGGATCGTGCCGAGCGTGCGCATGTTTTCTCTGTTGCGGGCGAAACCACGTGTTTTTCAATGTGTGTTTGGACATTCGGTTTGGAATCGATTCGGAACCAACAATTGAATCATTCCCGTATTCGTGCGCGACGACGCGCGCGCGTGCACTTCGTCACATGTTTTGCAG